GAGGAACAGGAGGAGCCTGTTCTTACTGAACGTATGAGAAGAGCTGCCAGAAGGTAGGAGCAGATAAAGCAGAGAGGACGACTCGGGAGTAGGGCCAAGAGATGATTGGCCCCTCCTATAAGGCTTAAAAGACCAGCAATGGCTCTTGGCCTCTTTGCCGAAAAACAACGTTGAGAGAATTGCTTCTTGTTTCACTGTATTCATTTCTTGTCAGCATCTTCTGCTTCTAAACTTTTGCCAAGAAAAGCCTTTGGCAGTTTGCTTAATTATCCCAAGGTCAGTGATAAACTGAGGAATGGTGTTTTGAAGAATTTGCTTTAATTTAATTTGAACTATGCTGAGAATGAGTTAATTCTCAGCTGTTCTAATAAAGTCTGTTTGTTTTCGAACTGTTTGTATTTAATACTAACTACTTGGGCCTGGGTCACAACACCTGTAAAATGTATACGTGTCTTATGATAGTAAAAAGAATAGACAATACTACCATATATTTAAGATGAAAATCAAGACTATTACTAACATTTTAGCACACAATGTCAACCATCCTAGTTTCAGGTATCAGCAGATTTAAAGCATGTTGCAGTATGCCTAAACAATTGAGCCTTTTTTTCAGCCAGTATGGTATTAAATGTGTTCTGTTATATAGCTGTAGAATGAGTAAACAGAGCTATATTTTATATTGCATTAGAATTCAAATATCTTCATTATTATGAGGCCTAACACCTGTGCATCACTCTTCGAAAGAAATAAAAAGCAATTTAACTGAAGGCCAGATTGAAACTATCCAGTGTCTCTTGCCTTCTGAGATCGCTATTAAACCAGTGAGGAGCAACTTGTCCTCTTGAAAGATAATTAATCCTTAGTTCATGGATTAAATGTACACCCAGAAATTATAAACATAACTATGATTCTAAATGGCTTTGATTACTCATATAAAAATGCAGTTTCCTAGAGTGCCTTAATATGCAACAGTTAAACAGAGGAGTCACTGTTTATAACCTAGTAGTAGTAAATATACTGTATTTTTCGGTGTGTAAGACGCACTTCCCCCCCCCCCAAAAAGTGGGTGGAAATGTCTGTGCATCTTATACAGCAAATGTTGCCAAAGCCCCGCCCACACGCTGGCTCCCACCCTTCAGCCTCTGCCTCCCAGCAATTTGCCTCCTTGCCGAAAACTGCAAACAGCCTGGTCAGCTTCAGCACAACCTGATTTAGCACAAGCAGCTGATTGGCGTTTGGATCTGCTTCCTGGAATACCGCCTATCAGCTGTTCCAAGGGGATCGCCACCACCCATCGCTGCCCATCATTGCTGTCGCCTATTGCCACCTCCACGCACCCCATTTTTAGCCTCTGCGCGTCCCATTTTTGGCCTCTGCACACCCCATTTTTTGCCTCTGTGTGCCCCATTTTTGGCCTATTCCAGGCGGTGGGGATTCCCACTGCCATGGCATATCCCCACCACCTGGAACAGGCCAAAAATGGGATGTGTGAAGGCCGAAAATGGGGTGGGTGGAGGCCGAAAATGGGACGTGAGGAGGCCAAAAATGGAGCACATAGAGGCGGCAATAGGTGGCAGTGGCGATGGGCAGTGGCAATCCTTGCAGCCTGAAACAGCTGATAGGCAGTATTCCAGGAGGCAGATCCAACCGCCAATCAACTGCTCATGCTAAATCAGGCTGTGCTGAAGCTGACCAGGGTGTTTGTTGTTTGCTGCAAGAAGGTAAATTGCTGGGAGGCAGAGGCAGTTTTTTTTTTTCTTGTTTTCCTCCTCAAAAGCTAGGTGTGCCTTATAGTCTGGAGCGTTTTATAGTCCGAAAAATACAGTATATCAATTACAGAAAGGTAATTACAGAAAGGCCTCCCAAATATTTTTTTTCCAGTACAACCGCACTATCTATGTCAAGTGCATCGTGAGAGCAAAATTATAAAGACAACAATCATCTGTTCAAGTGAAACCATCGTGGTGAATATACTTATTTCTTTTTATTTTACCATTGTTCAGATGGGCTTCCTTCTTGCCCGGGAAAACTGTCTGAAATAGTAAACCATCGTTTTGTGTCATGTATATTTACTTGTATATCTACCCAAATCTAAAAAATTATCTAAATATGACCCAATCCCTATATAATAGCTGAACTCCCCAAAGAGTGACAATAAATGAAATAAAATAAAGCATATACATTAAAATTGATGAGAGAGAAATTTTTTTAAAAAATTAAATATATTTAAATTCTGGATGAACCTGAGTCTTAAATTGCACCTGTAAACAATGGAATAATAAATAATCCATACATATCAGAAAGGTGTTCATCACAATAGATGCCACCACCAGGAACCTTCACATATTTGTAAGTAATGGAGTAAGTTACTTTTCCAGTGATCAAGATAGTATATTCAAAGAACCTTGATTAAGATTAGTTAAAAATAAATTTCTAAAAACTCTGAAGATTGATTAGAAACAAGGGGATAGAGAGCAATGCAAGTATTCCTTGTGCTTTTGTTTCCTCTAAAGTAGACTGGGGGATAAAAAGAAAACAGTATGTTGATTTCTAATTTGGATGTCTCTCTCCTAAACCTTGACCTAGGTTGGGGCTGAGTCAAGGAGTTCATAGCAGAGGTTGTCTGGTGCCTGATGGAAAGGGACAGATTAGTTTTATATTGCAGTTTTTATTGGTTGTTGTGACCCACCAAGGTTCATTGTGTGATGTTAAATGGCTTTATCACTTCAGTAAAAAAAAAAAAAAATATTCTGAACTATATTGCCCACTAGCCTTAGCTTTTCTTCCCTCCTGGCATTTGTAGATTATTCTGAAACTCTGTAAAAAGGAGCCTTTTATTTTGGCCAAGTAGGGATCTTTGTTACAAAGATGAACAGAAGAGGCTCTCCTGAAGAGAACTAAAAGGAAAGGGTTTTCTTCAGGCTATGGAATGCACTTTGCAAAGAGGTGTGTTTGGCTACCACTCTTCCAGTAATTAGGAAGATGAAAAAACTGCTTCATTTTTTGCCAAGCTTTTAATTGTTAATTATTTTAATTAGCTTTAAGTTTGGCTTTGATTTTAACTGTTTCATTTTATTATAGTATTATATTTTTATTGTTGCACATTCATTATGTGGAGGGAGGGAGGATCTCCCCCTAAAGATACTGCTCACCCGAATAAAGATGCCAACTAGCAAAACTGCAAGATAAAATTGTTTTTCAAATTTCAAAGTTAGCTTAAATTTAGCATTTCAGCAGGCAAACAGCAAACTCCATTATCAATCCATCAAAAAGGTTAAGTTCACGTATTTAATTAGTCTAGACTTAACAAAATTAAAAAGAAGCTACAAATGTATGCATGCATACTTACATATATACTACATACATTAAATCACTCTGTAGAATGTCTACTTTTTTTTGATAGGAATACCAGTCCATAGTAACCTCTCATTACAATAATGGTCAGTTCAAAATAGACTGGAGTATCAAAGGAGGGCAAACAAATAAGCAAAAATAATGGGAAGAAAATCATGCACAGTAATTGATATAAAGTCTTAGATGATTTTCATATAATAGTAAAAGCAATAAACTAAACACAATTTCTTAAGAAATAGAAAAGGAAGAGTCTTACTGGAGTTTATTTTCATTCAAGAAGAGAAGAATGAGATAAAGACAGGATGTACTGGTCTTCCTTTATGCTTTAAGTTTAAAGTATTTTTTAAGAATCAAAACAACAAAGAGGAAATCACGAGATTTACATTTTTTTTGAGATGGCAGTTACTCCAGAAAAAATATCTTCTGAATAGTGACAGACATTTCTGTCACTTTATGGACTGTTTAGGCAAGGCAACTTCTAATTGTAAACAGCTGTTTTGCAGCAGATCATTGGCAAAGTAACATACGAGAAATTATGAAATATTTTAAACATTACATCCTTACATTTTAAAATATAAAGTTAACCTATTCTTCCGATTCAGTACAACCTGGTATATATTGTATGGACAGTTTCGGTGAAGGGTGAATTGGTACACAGATGGTCTTGCATTTTTGTTCCTTCATTGCTTCCTTGTTTCTTGCTATGCATATACAAGGAAGAAGATGAAGGAGACTAAAATTGTGATGTAATGTAAACTGGTAAAACGGAGCTTTCTGAACATGATTGGCTGAATGAAGTGTAGGATGCACATCTAAGAACCACATCACTGGAAGTCATAATGGGAAACAGTGAGAAGCATGGTGTAGATCTTTATCTAGATGAGCATAACTTCCAGGTTTATTTGTTGTCTTTGAATAGTAGTATAATAGTAGTATAAGGAAGTAGTAATATTACAGGTAGTCCTCAACTTATGACCACAATTGAGCCCAGAATTTCTGTTGTTAAGTGAGACAATTGTTAAGTAAGTTTTGCATTTTATAACTTTCCTTGCCACATGGTTGTTAAGTGAATCTGGCTTTCTCTATTGACTTTGTTTGTCATAATTTGTGTCAAAATTTCATCACATGACCCCAGGACACTGCAACCATCATAAACATGAGTCGGTTGCCAAGCATCTGAATTTTGATCATGTGAGCATAATGGTCATAAGTGTGAAAAATGGTCATAAGTCACTTTTTTCAGAGCCATTTTAACTTTGAACAATCACCAACAAATGGTTTTAAGTCGAAGATTAAATAAGTGTCTGGACAAATCTATTGAGGAGTAAGATGTACTACACTACATGTTAACAGAATGAAAGGCAATTACTCTTGCTAATAGCAAAAATTATCAAACTAGCATTTGAAAAAAATCATAAATACTTTTTAACATTAAATACAATAAATTTATATAACCTCCTAATTTTAATAGTACTATGGTACATTATACTGATTTTATATCTTCATCTAGATAAGAGAATTCCAACTTCTTATTCTGATTGTCAAACAATTTTGTAACTTCATAAAATCTTCATTAAATTAACATTTTCAACTACTTAATAAACAGTGATACTTTTCCACACAGTTTATTTTACAAAGAGTATTACCAGTTCTCGGGGCAGAAAGGTTTCTTCCTGGCGAGCAATGACCAGGGAAACTATTTCTCCTTGTTTTGTGCTTCTCAAAGTAGCTACAAGTTCTTCTTGAGTTCTGCCAGTGATATCTCTACCATTCACCTAATAACACCATAAACGAGCAAGTTAGCAAAAATTGTTAACAATATATTGTTAAATATTGAGCAATTTAATCTACATAGTATCAAATTGAGGATTAGGGGCCTAAACCATCTGAGCCATCCATTTTGCAGATGTTTCAAAGTTTCCTTCCCTTCTTTAGCAGTGACATATCAACAATTTATATATCAGTATATCTACTGATATTCCCTGAAAGAATACGACTTCAACCCCACCCTATCCTCCAATGAAAGAAAGCATGGGGCTATTGAAGGGTTGCTTATGGTTTCATTGGATGAAATTTAAGGAAAATGCTGACGAAGATGTAAGAATGGAGCATTAAATTTGCCTATCACATAAGACATACTTCAAAATATTTTGCACCCAAGCCAGATGTCACAATGATTAAACTTGAATGTTGATTTCTAATTTTGATTTCTTTCCAACAATGTCATTTTACTTAGGTATGATTTGACTTCATCCAGAATTGCAATTATCTTCCCCAAAAATAAGATCGGGTCTTATATTAATTTTAGTTGCATTAGGGCTTATTTTCAAGGAAATAAATGCATCTGTTGGGCTGACAATCTTAAGTGGGGCTTATTTTGGGGGTAGGGCTTATATTATGAGCATTCTGAAAAATCATGCTAGGGCTTATTTTCCAGGTGGGTCTTATTTTCAGGGAAACACGATATCTATTTACCTTTGCCAAATAAAGTATGGTGAATTGTTAGGAAAGGGTCTTTCTAGCTGTAGCATGCTAAGTATACTGAGAGAAACTTGCTTTGTGCTTTTTTTTTCACATTATGTGAGAAACATATTTAACAAATATATCCAAAACCTGTTTGAATATTGTTGGGAAGATTTTCTTTTACAGAACAATTGCATCAGTTTCAATAGATCCAAATAATCAATATCATCCAAAATGTCTGAATCTGGAAAGCCATAATTGGTTGAACCTTAAAGTTAGCATATTTAGGAAGATTTTACATCTCTTAGAGGTGGGATATCCAGGGAGCATTTATTACTTCTGAATTACAAATTTCCAATTTTGCTCAGCCAAATTTTAAAAGCAAAAATGGGAAAGTATCATGAATGTAAGCATAGGCTTTGAATATCCAAGAAACCTGACCTCATCTTCAGATTATAAAGCTAACAATTATCTAGAGCAATAGGGCAAGAAGATGATAACCTTGTTTTGGTAAAAAAAAAAATGCAGTAAGCAGTTATATTTGCAAAATTATATTTGCAAAACTGCAAATAAATTGGTTATTATGAGTATTTTATAATTCACTTGAGCCTATGTTTTACATTAAACAGGTTTGTATCAGTCGAAAAAGCATCATATAATGGCCCTCACCAAATACTGTGTTTAATTACTTAATAGTAAGATATGTGCTGAGGAATAGATTTCCAACCTCCAGTATTCTGTCTCCTGAATGCAAACGGCCATCTTTAACTGCTGCACCTCGAGGCAAAATATTCTTTACAAATATAGGGCCAGGACCGTGTATGGAGGAGTCCCTGGTGACCACTGTAAAACCTAGTCCTTCAGATCCTAAAGAATAGAAGAAGTATCTGTAAATATGAGGCAACCAATAATTAACAGAAGGCTGTTCTCCAAAGCTTTAATATTTAAATTAAAAATGGGTTTGTTTTCAATTAAGTAAGAATAGTAGGATCCATTCCTTGTTTTAGTGCTGAATTAGGACACCCTGTTCATCTTTTCTGTGCAGCAACAAAGTGTTTCTTTCATCTGGTGTCTTCAAATTCTTTAACATATGCTTGCCCACTTCCATTCTGTATGTTGTTCTTATGAAAAGCATGCAGTAACTCAATGAATGAACACAAGCTTTAGTCACGTATTACATTAGAAAAGGTCGAAAGAACAGAAAAAATATCTGAAATTTTTTAATCTGCATAAAGAATAGGGATTTCTTTCACCCCACCTTTGTTATTTTTATTAAGGAAGCAAATATATGTAATATTCCTTCCTCCTATTCATTTATCCACAACACCCCTGTGAGGTGAATTAAGCAGAGAGACAGAGAGAGTGACTGACCCAAAATCACCCACTTGGCTTTCATGCTAAAGGCGGGATTAGAACATATAGCCTACTGGTTTGTAGCCTGGTATATTTAATCACTGGACCTAATTGACCTAATTTATTACATTATTATTACAGTGTGCAGTATTGAAGTCCAAATGGGCCAAAACGCTTCAGCTCTGGTGTGGGCACTCTCACTGTATCTATTGGTGGTTCCTGAAAGGAGCTTTCCTTTCTCTTGGACTTTTATGGTAACCTTGTGGATTCCAAAAAGTGTTTGCTTGAGTCCATGAGACACTGCAGAAGTGGCAACCACAGGCTGAACATTTCCATAACTAAAATGAGCCTCATGTAGCTACCATGTAGGTCTGGTGCAACAACAGGTATAACTGTAGTGCCCACGCTGTATCTGAAGCATCTTTGCTAGCTTTAGATCTCAGTAGCTTAGAGCAGAGTCCTAACATAGACACAAAACTGAAAAGGAAAGCTTTCTTTGATAAAAACTTAAAACAGATAAAAACAGAATTTATTAGAGGACTTCACCAGAAGCTTACCAGCTCCAGCCCAACCTTTTTAAACTCATTTGGGGGAGATTTATCTGAAATCTGAAATATCTGAAGTATGTTATGGAATACAGCTTGAAATTGTCTTTAATTGTGATCTCTACATGCAGACTTTGCAAGGAGTTCTTTGCAGCCAACACCTAGTAACAACATATACATAAGCATAAGACAGAAGGACAGAAAGAGAAGAAAAAGAATGTGACACCTCCTTAAACAGTTTTGCTCCTAGCTGTACTCAGAGTAAATCTGTGATATATTTTTATGGAATGTGGAATAATTTTAAGTGAAAAGGTTTAAAGTTTCGAAACTGGTGCAATATCAAATCTTTCTAATTGCTAGTTTATACATTATTTCTTTATTTTACTTTCTTGGAGTACTTTATGGACAAAAACATTGAAATAAGTAGAAACTGAGCCATGGGCAAACCATTTAGTGTTTAAGTAAATAGTCAGCTGTGTCAGACTTATCCAAAGACTATCCTAATCCTCAATGGAACATTCTCAAGTGGGCTTTGAGAAGAAGTAAATTGTTGACCTTTTTAATCTGACAGATGTGTGGCTTTGAATTTAACATGTATCTTGTTGCAATAATTCAGTGTTCAAACTTCAAACTAAATTCTCTTAATTCTGTTCTGTAATATGATTTCAGGGAACACTGGTTCACTGTAGAAACTGAACATTCCATAAGAAGCCTTCTTAAAACCTTAACATCCAGTGTTGTACAATGAAATACTGAAAATTATTCAACTAAATCTTATCAGTATAGCGGTATCAAGTTATTATTTCATGTTATTATAACATTCCAGCAGACATAATCTTTGTTGACTGAAAATAAAAATAACTTTAAAAGTAATGGAAGTCCAACTGGAAAGATTTTTAAATGCAATGTCTGCTATATAATGATACCATAGTTTTTTAAAAATACCGGTTGATACATGGAAGCTATTATTTACTAGCTGCCTCCAGTGCATAAGTGCTCACTTGTTTCTGTTTCCAATAGCATGCCAGCTGTTTTTGCAATGAATAAGTCAAATTTATACATCCACATCAACCATATGTAAAAAAAATCATATTTAGAAAGTATTAACAACTCATAACCATTACCTTTTTTGAGATCAATCCTTATTTTCTTTGCATTTTTCTTGCTGCCAAACCCCATCAATGGGGATAAAGATGGTGATGGAGGTTTCCTATTAATTCTTGAGAAGTTAGGACTCTTGGAAGATGCATGTGTACCAGTCTCTAGATTGTTTGCTTCAGAGAAATCTGGGTCTTTCATCATCGGCTTTGGATGGGCTGCAGGTGGAAACTTTCCTTTGGAAATATGATCAGCTTTATTTGGGGAGTACAATGGTGCGATGACTGACTTTTCATATTGTTCACGGCCATATGAAGCAACAACTTCCAGGATGATGTTTTGAGATTTCATCGCTTGGCGGAAAAGATCTTGTGCTCTTGGGGAAAAAAAAACATAAAATAGTCTCAGCAATTAAGCAGTGTAACTGCTTATTAATTAATTTGTTGAACATATATCCTGTTCATCTTACCTAGATGTGACTCTAGGTGGTTTACAACCACTAAAACACCAATATAAAACATTAAAACTATAAATAGTAACACTAAAACTGGTTAAAAATTGACAAAGAGGGGAAGGAAGGGAGCGAGATGCAAACAGAGAGGAGGTGCGATATTGTATTAGTCCATTAACCATGTCTGTTCCTCCAGCACACAGGAGGATTTTCCTCTACCTGCACAAAAGGAAACAGACCTCAATCCAACATCCCATTTAATTGGAAGCTTTTTAGCCAGCATCCCGTTGATTTTCTGGGGAAAACAGGAAGGAAGATTGCAAATGGCAATCGCATGATCACAGGGCATCTGGCATCCAGTTGTAAACCTGAACAGGTTGTCATGCACACAAAATGTGGTCATGGACCGGGGAGGGGGCATAATGCTTTCCAAAACCTGAAAATGCTTTATGAAGTGTAAAGGATCCATTCTGAGGCCGTGACTGTGAACTGCTGTTAAATGGCTAGCTGTAAAATGATGACTACCTGCATATATGGAATATTTCTAATTAATCAGTAAAGAAAATTCACTTTATAGTGCTTATTATGTCATTTATAGGGGGCAGGATGGCTCAGTGGTTAAAGACACTGAGCTTGTCAGCTGGAAAGCTGATACCCCAATTTTGAGACTTGAGTACCATGTGGTGGGGTGAGCTCCTGCCACTTGCTCCAGCTCCTGCCAACCTAGCAGATCAAAAGCATGCAAATGTGAGTAGATAAATACCGGTAGATACCACTTCGGTGGGAAGGTAACATCATTCTGTGTACTTTGGCATATAGTCATGCTGACCACATGACCATGGAAATGTCTTCTGACAATGCTGGCTCCCTCAACTAAGAAACAGGGATGAGTATCACCCCCTAAAGTCAGACTCAGCTGGACAGGGGAAATGTTTACCTTTATCATTATATGTCATTTATAAAATATCTCTTCTAAGATTGCTTTGACTACATATATTCTGTACTTGTATTTGTACACATATATTCAAATTTCAACAGAGACATATTAGATAAAATTTGTTTAAAACTCCTACTAAGATAACTGCATATAAAAAATGAATAGACATCCTGTGAACTTTAGGAATAATAAAAACAGTCTAGTTTTAAAAGAAATGCACGTAATTTGGATATTGTTGGAACAAAAAATGAAAAACTGCCTTAAAAATAAATACCTAATTTTCATGAAATAAACCTAATGAAGAGTTTGTTAATTGAGTTCTTTGTGTTTTAAAAAAGATGGATTAATGATGTTTATTATTCTTTATTAAGAACAATCTTTGAAGTTTTTAGATTGATTACTAAAGAAATATTACAAAATACTAGTAAAATGTTCAGATTAAGAAAAAGGATTTGAGTATATAGCAAGAGGAAATAAGCATGAAAGCCAGATAGGTGACTCTGGGCCAGTCAATCTGTCAGTCAAACTCACTTCACAGGGTTGTTGTGGGAAAAATAAGACAGGAAAGGTAGGTTGGTTAAAACCTTGAGTAATTTATAAAAATAATAAAGGTGGACAAAAATAAATAAAAAATACTTTTGTTCCAGGACGTCTGTACTTGAAAAATATTAGTGCTATACACTATAAAGAGAAAAAAGAAATATCTAAATTATTTTGTTCAATTGTTTAACTTTTGGAACTTTGGATTGATTTTCAGTGAACATGATTTTTTTTTTAATCCAAGAAAAAAAATAAGGAAAATGAAGAAGAACTTACTGTGCAAAGGTTTTATCTGCAAGTTCAATATTGTTAATTTTCACAATGCATTCATTTTCATAGAAAAGTCCATCCCGCTTAGACCGGCTATTTTCCTCAATACCACGGATGAAGAGTCCTAAAATCCTGGAGGAAATGTAAAATACGTTTAAGTGAACTTTAAATCATCTGTACCAGGTTGTGACTCAATATTTGCTTCTGTGCTCTTTGAAAAAATAGATCATTTTCACAGATTCTTCTTTTCCCTTCAGGCCATTGAGTGTTTACTTAATTCACTGTATCTGTGCAAAATAAAACGATATGAATTTCTTCCTACTTTGTGCAGCATCTCTATACTGTATACAGAATGCTGGGGAGCTGCAAGAATCCACTTTGCCTAAGATGCCAGTGTTGGGGCAGAATATTATGATGTAGTATATTTTATTTTTGTCCTGCTTTGGATAATTTTTCACTTGTTGATTTTGAAGATCTGGACAAGTGTGAACTTTCTTCCTTCTGGATGAAGGAGTGTGTGTGTGTGTGTGTGTGTGTGTGTGTGTGTGTGTGTGTATGTGTGTTTAGTACTTCCTTATAGGATGTGAATTCCCTTTCTGCCTAAAGATAGACAGACAAGAAGAGTATTTAGAAATCATTTTATTTGCTTGAAAAGCCTGAAAATTATTGGTCAATTTCAAAATATTTTTTCCAGGTGAAGTGACAGAGATAGGAATGGCCTCACAACTCCAGATTTATCTGAATGACATTGTATCTGGGCCTACTTCAGTTGGGATTTTGGCTGGGATGTGGAATCAAGATTCAGAGATGTAAGGTCTCACAAAAGTTATTTCCCCCAATATTTTAATTTCTTATTCTATAGAAATATTCTATATTCAGTTATGCATCTCCATTCTAGGATATACATGAGTTGTGGTGAAAATCTTGACCCTTTATCTTAAATTGTAAAGATGTAGATGGGAAGAAGCAGGTTGAGATTCAACCCCAACAAGATGAAGTGGCTGTAGATTCAGGCTGTTGGCTGTTGGGAAAATTCCAATATCAGGTCCGGACAGAGGTATGATTTCTAAGCAAAAAGGGGTGTGTAATCACGAGATGTACCTGACTTCATTTCTGCTGGAGGAGATAGAAGGTGAGGCTTTTGTTGATTGACTATATAGTCACTCAACACTCTTCATCTCATGGATGAACTACAGTAATATACTCTATATCTTAAAACTGAAAAAAATGAAAAATGCAGGGGTCCACCTGTTTACAGGTGCAATGCAGTAGTAATAAAATAGGGAAGCACATTAATTGTTCATTTGTTTACAGGTGTACTTTAAGATCATAGTGTTCACTTTTAAAGTTCAACATTGTTGGAGTCTGGCAATCTCCCCATCCCAATTTCGCCTGCAGAGTATGACAAGAAGAACACATAGGGCATATTAGCAAATGTGTATTATTTTAGAAAAAAGTGAAGAAATTGGGAATCTTTACCCATAGGAAGAATGGGAGTCTGTTCAGTGATGCATCTGAGTATCATGTCTGCCAATACAAACCACTTAATAGCTAGAGGAACTTTTCTGAACTATGTACAAAGAAATATTTCTTTTAATATCTATTTATGATGCTGAAAGGCTGTGATGTTACTTTAAATTCTTTGAAAAACTTTTCTTTTTCTCCTAGAAATTTCAACTATTAGATAAAAGCTTTAATTTAAAACTATGCTTCCCTCCATCACCTGCATATACATTTGTAAATATTCACAAAAAGATATAGAGGACTTGGCTCCTAAAGAAATCTGGATGAGAGAAGCAATGGTCTTCTTTATGAATGCCTAAATTACTTCCACGTGCACTTAACATTCCTACTGATTTCCTCTTCCAGTTCCAGAATTTTTGAGTTTATCAGTCCAGTTAACCTACATGAGAACATTTTGAAATGCAGGGATATTGCAACAGGCCCAAGCAGTAAAATTGTTGATGCAGAAAGTAATATCCAGTCTATACCAGATGGTTAGCATACCCAGTGAAAATCCAGATTTACAACATTAAAAGTCTACTGGATATAGTTGTGAAGCAGAAGTTCAGTTTATATATGTGGTAATTATTTTCCTCAAAAATAAGCTTCACCTATTTCTAGAAGATGGAGATCCAACCACAGCAGTGCTAATGCAAATTTACATGAGACAACTGGTCTTAGTACTGTCATGCTAATGATACTCATTTCTACTTAGGCCATGACTGAACAACATATTTTTATTTGCTTTGATTTCTTACATTTTGGAATTACAGTTACTTGTGTGCCTCCCTATTTATTTTGTTCTTTGGATTATCTATAGATTGCCTTTAAAGTTTTATTAGAAATATTTAAATACCTCACATGAAATGGAGATATTCACCACTAAAATGTTGACTATATCATTGTTATAATGAAAAGGATGCTTTTATTAAAATTTTGTTGTGTTCTCCATGCTAAATTTGGGTTCAAAATTACTGAGGAAATTTTGAAAACAATAGCAGTTTTCTGGGTTTTATCAAATGATCCAAACAATCTAATTAAAAACCAAAGCTAAGATTTTTTAAACTATATGTTATTGACAAAGTTGTAGGATATACTGGGAAGTTTATTTCAGGAAAAAGACAATGACAAACCACTGCTATTCTATTGCCAAGAAAGCTGTATGAATGTGTCACCAGTGGCATCACCAGGAATCTACATCATTCTTTACAAAGGAAGCTCATCAGCTCAACCTCAATCTGAATTCCATGTTGGGTTAGGTGACAGGGTTGTAATTTCAGCTATAATTTGGCCTATTGGATTCTGCATAGTAAATCTCAAGCATGTCAGTACATCGAATAAAGAGATTAAAGCCACAATCTGCTTTTTCAGTCCTTGCCTTTCCAAGCTGATTAAACCAGGAGTCCCCAACCTTTCGGATCTCAGGGACCACTAAATTCATAATTTTAAATCCACGGACTAGTAATATGATCTGCTTAATGACGGCTGAATGGGCGTGGCTAGGTGGTCATGTGACTGGGTGGGTGTGGCCAACTTGATGTCACTCACGTTGAGGGGCACCTCCCTGGCCTCTACTTGTTCCTCTCCTCCCAGCCACTCCTCGCCTGCCCGCCTGGACTCCTTAGGGTCCCAACAGGAAGCAGTTGTTGGAGCTAAGCAGCCACCACAAGAAAGAGTTGGCAAAACAGCTGGCTAAGTTCGAATTGGATCTGACCGAGAAGGAGGTTCAACAGAAGCACCTCACTGAGGACTATGAGCATAGGCTTTCCAAGCAGAGGGAAGATCTGCAGGAGTGCAAGGCCAGGTACTGGTGCCTGGAGGCTCAGCAGGCTGAGATGATTAGCCAGTTCCAGGCCATGATGCAGTCCCACTGGAACAAGACCCTCCAGTTCTTCACCACCAGTGGAGCTTCCCTCCAGCCTTCGCCCAAATCCCCGCATCAGGAGTCTGAAGCAGACCCCGAGTCAGAATTTCTGCCCCCCTCCGACCCACACCAAAAGGCCCCCAAAGGTGGGGGGACTCTTTACAGCAACACAAACGTTCATTGCACGTATCCAGCCCAGGGGCCGTAGTTTGAGGACCCCTGATTTAGTGAAATATAAAAAAAGCAAATAATTTTTCTGCGGACCACCAAAATTTTCTTGCGGACCACCAGTGGTCCATGGACCACCAGTTGGTGACCACTGGATTAAACTGTTCATACCGGACTGGCCCTAAGGTTAAGGGGATGATCTTCGTTGGTTTAGCAGGAAGAGAATATTGTTCCTCCATAAGAAAGAGACAAAACAGACAAAACCAGTCTCAAATTTTACACCTCCTGGAAAGCAAATCAAAAGAACTTTTACCTTGTAATCCTGTTGCATGTGAATTTAGTGATAATCTTGATTATTTAAATTACCCTTTCAGCTATGCTCACCTTGGCAGATGATCTATGCTGAAAAGTGCAGGATATAATCCTGCTAGTTTTGGTTCTATTCTTTGGTCATTGGCTATATATCCAGTAGCTGATATTGGAGGTCTATCTGACAGACTTCACTAGAACAATTTTCTAGCAAATATTTTGCTATCCCAATGAACAACCTGTATAGCTGCAAATCAAGTCAGGTACTCTTTCTTAGGCTCTTTCAATATAAGGAGAGAAAGCCTCTCTCTTTTGAGAAGTTGGGCCATCCTCCACCTACAGATGGTTTGGGGAATGAATATTAGCCTTATTATGGTGAAATCAGCAATCATACTCACAATTTTCACAAACAATTGATGACCTCCTTTTACCGGTCCACAATAGAAAGCGTTCTCACTTATTGCATCACGGTATGGCATGCCAGCCTGACAGCCGCGTATAGAAAAATAGAGGGTGTGAGCACAGCACAAAACATCGTGGGCTGTCCCCTGATACCACTAGATGAGATCGCTAGGGCTTGCTGCTTTAGAAGAGTGAGGAAAATCCTCAAGAACGACTCTCACCCTGGTCATCACTTCTTTACCCTCCTACCATCGGGAAGGAGATATAGAAGCATAGTCAGCCGCACAAACAGGCTGAAGAACAGTTTTTATCCGTAGGCTATCAGACTCCTGAATGCAAAATAACATCATAAATACGTAGTACGATGGACTTGCAGGGCCGGCGCAACGTGTAACTTGTTCACACTGGTGTAATAGGACTGGGTGTTTGTTAATATGATTTTTTGGGTTAGGGATTTTCTGTTTCCACTGTGAGTTGTATTGTGTTGGGGGGGGTGCATTGAGGGAGCTCCACCAATCTCATTGTACATATGTGGTGCAGTGACAATAAAAGTTATTATTATTATTAATTCAACATCTAGATCACAAATTTTTAAAGGTGCTTCTCTTTAGTCAGGCTTTTAATTGTGAATTGCTTTTAACATTAATTTTAATTCATGCTTTCAGGTTTATATAATGGAACCTTCGCTATTCAACAAAATAAGAATATTGTGATTCTCATATGTACATTGTGTTAAGTATATACTGGTGCTGATATCTGGGAGAAAAAAATCTGATTACTTTTTCTACTGGTTTGCTTCTCCATAATGGAAATCCCTTACCTTCCACTTAATGATGAAAAGTATGGTACCACATGTATCCCCAGTGGGCCTCCTTCCCCAGGTATCTCTACGATTCTTGTCACACCACTAAAAGAAAGGGAAAAGCATCAATTATCTTCAAAAGAAAGCAAGACAAGCAGAAAGATTATTCTGAGCTTGTAAGAGGCACTTGTTGTACCTCAATACCTTTTACCAATCCCTGAAATAAATGGTCATTCTTAACAACTTGCAATTCCATAAGACCATCCCTTTAATAGCCAGATCATAAAGGTTGTTCTGTATACTCTATGAGGTAGATTACACGATCTCTTCAATATACTGCTAATTGCTAAATATGCCTTTGAAAGCCAGTTTGGTACAGTGGTTATGGTATCTACACTACAAACTGGAGTCCATGAGTTCTAGTCCCACCTTAGGCACAAAGCCAGCTGGATGACTTTGGGCCACTCACTTTATCTCAGCTCTAAGAAGGAATGGCAAACCACTTTTGAAAACTCTTGCCAAGAAAACTGCAGGGCCTAGTCCAGGCAATCACTAGGAATCAAAGCCCCGCTGACTTGAAGCAAAAAACAACAAAGCCTATGCACAACAAAACTGGATATCCACATATTGAAATAATTAATATTCAAATTGTCCACGTGAATCAAATCTGATTTATTAAAAAACCCATAATGATATATGCTACAAATGCAAAATGTGCTACATGAATTGGACTGTATTTATGTATTCATGTTTTCTTTTTAGATCTATTAGGAATACAACAGGGTTTTTTTGTGTTCTATAATAATAGCAAAAAGAATAATCCTTAGGAAATTGAAAATACCATAACATAAATGACTGGATTTCAGAGATATGTGATTTAGCAATTTTGGAGAAAATTATTTTTACTTTACATTATTTTATATATGTCTGTTTGAAGATGGAATAATAAACCAAAAATATTTGGGTTTTTTTAAAAAACAAATTCTAGTGGGGGAGGAGGAGGGGAAGATGAAAGGGACATAATACTTTATATTATATCAAATGAGATATAACTATAGAACCATGGACTCCTACTCCACTCATTCTACTCTCTCACAGAGAGATGTAGAACACCCAAAGAATCCATTTCCTGTTCAATATCTTTAATATAAAGAACAAATTGTTATTTTATTTTTAATGTCTATGTAGCCTATTCCAAAGCTTTTAGAGGGTATATGTATGAAGGTAGACCTATACAAATAGCCCTCAATTTATGACTACTCATTCAGCAACTTTCAAAGGCTTGTGACTGCTCCGTGAAGTTATGGCCTTTGTAGATTCCCTGTGCTCATGTGATCGCAATTCAAGCACTTGTAACCAGTTTGCAATTACAAAGGGTACAGCGTCAACTGAATGAATTTTGCGAACTTCCCTGCCAGCTTCTCACAAACAAAGTCAAGTCACTCCTTATTGTGGCCCGTCAGAGGCCTGTGCAACTAGTAGCTGATTCCGACAGCAAGGAGGCTGGTGTGGTGCTGTGCCAGCAGCCTGTGCAACTGGCATTCAAGTCAAACAATGCGGAGGCTGGAGAAGATATGGTGCCAGAGGCGGGTATTCAGCCAGGGCCTTCAGAACCTCCAAAAGCTCCCATAAGTGAAGAGGAAGAAGAGGAGAAGCCTCTTCTCGATGCACGGGCGCGCAGAGCTGCCAAAAGGCAGGTTCCTCAGGAGGTCTCCTTGAGAGTAAGGCTTGGGGCTAATTGGCCACTCCCTTAGTCTATTTAAGGAAGGACGACGGCTGAGGCAATTTGCTGGGAACAACTTTGTTCACTCTCCTTCGCGTCCTGATCTTAGTTCTCTTATCAGTTTACTGCAAATTGCTTCTGGGCTTTCTGCCAACCATAGTAAGGTTACGATTATTTATTCTTTGGATTCTTGTAGGCTGTTAAGAAAGTTAATTAACAGCCTTTATTTGAAAAAGACTGATTTAATTTAGTAAACTAAGGTTTGTACAGACTTTGTGTGTGCTGCATTCTTTGGGGTCCATAGCTGGGGCAGAATACTCCTGCTGCTTTTTCACACATCTACCCACACTCTGTAGCAATAACACTTGTATACCACTTCATAGTGCTTTACAGCCTTCGCTAAGCAGCTTACAGAAACAGCATATTGCCCCCAACAATCTGGGTCCTCATTTTACCGACCTTGGAGGCTGGAAGGCTGAGTCAACCTTGAGCCAGTGAGAATAGAACTGCCAAACTGCTGGCAGTCAGCAGAAGTAGCCTGCAGTACTGCATTCTAACCACTGCGCCATCACGACTCATAGCACCCATTTATGCCAACCACCCACCAGCTTGTGGCTCTGTCCTACCAGCTTTCTTTCTTACATCTTCCAAAGACTTGGCCATGGGAGTTTCTCACTTAATGACCCATGCAGTCCTGGGATTATGGTGGCAACCAGAATTGATGTCACTACATGATTTGGTCACATGATATCACACTTTACAACCACATCACTTAGCAAAGGAAATTCCCATCTCAATTGTCATCATAACCCAAGAATTTTTGGGATGTATTAAAAACACAGTATCATAAGCTGTTTTAAAATTGACTTGCTTCAATAGAAAATAAAATCACAGAGGAAAGGGAGAAAGAGAGCATTATGCTTAGATTCATACAATATTTATTGTTGTATTTGAACTATGCCTGTCTATTGGATGGACACTAGAGCTGCTGGCATAATTTTTTTTTAAAAAGTGAGGATGGGGAGTGGGAATGGCGGAAATAACCCTTGAAATCACCTTGGAGACAAACATACCATAACATGCCAGAGCAAGGAATATTATAGAACTGGTCTCTTTTGTTTCAGAGAACAAGGCGGAGGAGATGAGAACTTCATCTCAGAAAATTCTGTAATGTGTGGTGTTGGGCTAGCTCACCAGTCACACTTTTCTACTTCAATATTTACTTATTAAACAATAATTCTCCTTCTAGGCTGAATTAATCTTTAATACTTTTGAGGAGACTATAATTGTAAATTATAATTGGTATCTGAGCATGCCACAGCATTCAGATATTCAGTTCAGCATTCTTACAATATATCAAGGCTTATAAAAATTGTCACAAATAAATGTGTGAATCAGCCTCTGCTATACTTTAAACAAAAATTGTATAGAATTCTGTTACCTAAATTGATGAAATTAAACTAATTGCAGTATAATAAAATAATTCACAAAACAAAGGCTGAAGTATGCCATGTTTCAGGAAATCAGTAGCCTTTATGTATATTATGTACTTCTTTCTTTCAGAATTCTTTATTTATATTTTTGAAAAAAATGTTTAAAAGAGAGGATATATATTCTTCTTACTGTTTTTAATAAGTAGCCACTTTAAAAATTGCTGAGAGGTGGCAGGTGAATATTTGGCCCAATTCTGTACTGTATAAACGATAATTGGAAAAAGGTCTAATTCAAATGAGAAACCCAGATTTCTTTATTGAGCATTTGCTGTAATTTAGGAAAATGCTAATCATTTCACAAATGAGACTGACTTAGGTTAGATTCATTGTAAGGCAGATCTCATATCATGTCTCCCCATGAATGAACGTGAATAAATATAAACTGCAGACTAAGATGGAGGCAGCAGTCTAGAGCAGCATCTTTCAAAGTATGACCTGGGAGATTGCTGGAAATCCTCAAGACCTAAGAGGATCCAAGCAGTTAAATAAATAAATATTTTAAGATTTATCAGTTTTAATTTCTCATATAAACAAAAGCTCTTTGGAGTGCTCCAACATTATTAAGCATGCAAAGGGGTCCTAAAACCAAAATGTTTGAGACTCACTGGTCTAGGGTAAGGCACAAAGACAGAAATAGAAGCAGATAATAAAAGAACAGACACTTGGGGTGGGAGGGTAGCCTCACTGTTATAAACGGATTGTACTATGCACTAGCTGTAAATAAAAAGTTTTTCTATCCATTTTCCAATTAACGAAGTGACTTCAGGAAGCTGCTTCGGGAGAGCATTTCCCTGGATAGTGACACATAAATACTTTATATCACAAAGGGATGCAGGACAGAATCTTCTTCATCAGATGACTCCTAGTATGACTCAAAGATACTATTTTCCTCTGTGAATTGCTGGCACAGGGTATTGATGATATGCCACGATTTCTAAATTTAAATGGCTACTGCAGGCTAGCTTTCTTCTTACTGACTCAGGAATGTAAGATATGATTACATCACCATTCCAGTAAAATTAAACAAGGAGATTTATTTCCTCACAAAAATACCATTCCAGTTACTAGCTTGAATTTAGAGAGAGAGAAAAAATCTCTGCTGAGGAAAAACAAATAATTCTGAGAAAGATAAGCAATGAACCTTCTGCATTGGAAATTGTCAATAACTGCTACGTTATAAAATGTATTGCAAAGTTCAAACTTATTTCTACATATTTAATAAAATGTACTGTATACTATTGCATGGACTAGATTGCCAATAGCCTTTATTTGTGCACAGGATAGTACAATTTTCAGTATTATGTGTCTGAATTTACATTTTCTATACATCCTGTGTAATTTGAGAAACACAAATTTATCCAGTTGTATCACTCTTCTCCTGATTTGTTTTGAAATGTTTATTTCCCACCGTGGGTTTTAGCAAAACCACTCTTCTCAAAAATAATGTATTTTAATAAAAATATTTCAACATTGCATTCAACATGGACTTCATGTCTTCAAGGAAAAAATCCATTATCCTTATAGGTAGTTTCTAAGTAATGACTAACTATTAAATTTCATTAATATTCCTTTTATATTTCAAAACTTAAAACTATAATTTCTTAGATCTTTGGATATAATAAATATTACAGATAAAGTGATACAAGATTATTCTAATTATCCTAAGTTATTATCCTAAGTTTGAGATGTAAACTGCAAATACAGTAATGACCTGTATAAACTCTGCCTCTGGGTTTATTTTTTTAAACATATACATATGTTTAAACATTTACATATACATTCTTCCTAATGTGCTGGATCCACAAGTGCAGGGTCTGTTTTTTCTCAAATCAACTGAGTGTTGATCCATTGGTTGCGATTGGGAATTTACTAATCAATTTGTTCTGAGA